CAGCTCTAACCACTAGCCCACACTGCCTCTCTCTCTCCCAGTGCCTCAGCTCTAACCACTAGCCCACACTGCCTCCCTCCCTCACTCTCCAATCTCCACCTTCACACCAGTCACACTTTGCCGTTTCTGAGCAGATGTGTGACTGTCATGCAGATGGGATCCCATGAGCACATGTGCAGCATCAGACAGATATCATAGTCTGTGCCCCCCCACCACCCCCTGTCTCGGAGGGACACTGCTCCAGGTCTTCCCAGTGGACTCTGAACATGCAGCTTTGTTGCTGAATCCTTGGGTGCAAAATCCCATCGCAGTCGGAGTCACAAGAGCTCCCATAATCCTGATTAACTCCACATTCCACACGCGATTTTGTGCTTCCCCTCATGTGGAGGTTTTCCATCTGCAAGGATACTCTACTCTGCAGGGATAGATCACTATAACTCTTCACACTCACACTGCTGCCTGCGCAGCTACAATAGAGCAGAGATAATCAACACCGTTCGCCTTTACAGTATAGATCCACAGTGTTATGAAGGTGTTATTAAACCTTAGCCATATTGGGATGTGTAATTATGAACCTTTTGTTCTTGTAACTTTTTTACATGTAAGATGTAAGGTCCATCAAAATCCATGTGTCATTTAATTATAGATACATTTGATAATATTGTTAAGACTTAAGAGCCCATAAAATTAAAAACCAACGGGTTTACGTAACTATAAGGGGGGCACAGAGAGTGTTTTTAGTTTCAATTTGTAAATACAGGTTTAGGTTTCTTATTTCTTTCTATTTTGGATGTGGTGGTAATGACAGGTCAGGAATGATCGACTGGTGTTATGAATGATTTTAGATTTGTATGAAAAAAAAATGCCTCAACCCATCGTAACACAAATCCCAAATCTGCAGCAATACTCTTTGACCCTCAGCCCCTGTAAAACTCTGGAGCGCTTCTGTAACAGCTCTCGAGATTAAAGTTTCATAAGAACCAATTACCCCCAGACAGAACTGACCTCTCTGCCATAATCTCTGAACCTGGCTGGACCACTGGGCACGAGTCTCCGGCCTGCACCAGAGCCGGTCGCGACGAGGGGGGGCTGAGTAAGCCATAGCATACCAGGCTCACCGGCTCCAGCACAGCCCTTCAGGGGCACCGGTGCTGAACATCGGGGTACCAGAAACGTTCTGAGGCAGGAATTAAAGGAGACGCCAGAAGCTCGTCACAGTAATCTCATCACAATGCGTCCTCTAGAAAAGCAGCAGAGTTCAAATTCAGGCAGGGCGACGCCTCACGCTGATAAAGACATAAGGCTTCCCTTACAAAAGGAGTACAAAGACTTAAAGGGAATTTACCTAAAATCTAAAGATTTAAATAAATAAAGTCCCTTTATTGATTTGTATAGTGCCTTTCATGCCAGAGTCAGCTGTGGTGTGGCGCAGTAAAGCATGGAGTGAGCATAGCAGCCCTACAAGAAACTGTAGTAAAAGTCAGTATGGAAGTACAGTAACAGCGCAGGACTGTCAGGGAGAACACGGGGTGAGAAAATCTTTCATGAGGAACAGTATCAGTGTGCAACAGTCCTGTTACATGAGTTCATAAGGTCTTTGCAGAGCCCAGAGATTTAGGCAGAGTGGTATTTCTAAATGATCAGGTTCTTCTGGGAACAATATCATAAGACTCCATTCTTGTGAGTCTCACCCCTGCTATTCTTGCAAAAAATGCCATTAAAAGCACTGTACGTTTCAACACAAAATCAGCTTGTGCACAACCCAGGTGAGGAATAATCGAACCTTCACCTCCGTTCACTTTCCTCAAAACCCTGCTGCAGATCAGCTCCCGCAGGATGTTAGGAGTATTCATTTATTGTCCAAATCATCCTTCCTTCTCCGAGTCCGGGGGCAGCCCAGGCAGGTTGGCCGGGGTGGGGGGGTGGGATTAAAAGGGCTCATTGTTAAGGGCTCCTGCAGCTTGTCTTGTGACCCCCCTCGCGCAGCTCTGTCAGGGCTGTGTGACTCAAGAGCTCACACACAAGAGCTCCTGAGCCGAGCGCTTTGTGAGGAGGCCTACCAGCATTCGTGGTTGTATTCATCAAGCACATGAGCAGCTCAGTGATGCTGCAGGCAGGGGCTTGGGTGCTTCAGTCTTGTTACGCGTGAGTTTGTAAGGTCTCTGCAAAGCCCAGGAATTCAGGGAAAGAATTTCTTAAAGTTCAAGTTCTTCTGTTCACACTGTCCTATGACACAGCATTTTTGTAAAATTACCTCATTATAACTATATATATATACAAATAACTATTATGAGCCCTGTTAATTTCAACATAAAGTATTCAGAAACTGTTTCTTTGGATCTGAATTTTAATCCTCAAGGACACCAAGTCTGCAGGTAAAAATAGCAGAGAAATGCACCATTTTTCTCTTGGTCTTTGTTAGGTCTTTGGCGAAGTGTCATGCAATTTTGGAGTGCGACACTGACACGTGTCCCCCGGTCACTGCTTCCTGTCCGAGTCTGCGGAACCCTCTTCAGGGCACGTGTTTTCTAAGGGACAGCTGGCGAACGTGGCGCAGGTCTCGGAGGAGCAGAGAAGGGCACACAGCATGTGTGATGGCTCTGGCAGCAGAGGCTGGAAACGGGGTTGTTACAGACATCATCCCTGCAGCACACCCCTGCCACAGCCCACTGTAGTGAGATTTAAACAGGACAAACGAGCAATCTGACTTTGAGCAATCTGCAGTCTGCAATATTGCAATCTGACTGTCTACTGATCTTTCCAAAAATGTTAAATGTGTCACTTTTATAAAAAAATACTATAGTAAAGCACATGTGGACCAGAGTTTCTAACCAGTGTCCCAGTATGCTGACCGGTGACAGTGTGCTGTTGGAGGCTGAATGAGATGGGCACATTAAAAATCTCCTGGTGTTTTTTCTAACCATGGGGTGTGAACCCTGGTGCCCTGGCCTAATTCTGCTCTGGGACTGTAGAGTCTGACCACACCCAAGTTCCCCCTAACCCAGCTGCTGAAGCCGTTTCTGACCTGCTGTACAGCTGGACTGCTGTGTGTCGCCCAGGTGGAGCTGCTGATGAGTCCTGTCTTTCGGGATGAAGACATAATGGAAATAATAATAATAATAATAAACTTTATTTTATATAGCGCCTTTAAAGGTGGCTTCTCAAAGCGCTTTACAGGATGACAACAACAATAAATAAGAAGAATACACAAGATAATGGATGGTGGTACTAAAGAAGAGCAGAGGGGTGAAGAATGGAACCAGTTCAGTAAAGGCTTTTCTGAAGAAGAGGGTTTTGAGTCTGGATTTGAAGGAGTTTAGAGAAGTTTAGAGAAGTTTTGACTCTGATATCCTTGGGGAGAGAGTTCCAGAGCTTGGGGGCATAGCAGGAGAAGGCCCTGTCACCCACCCATACAATGTAGACGGGCTTGAGGGACAGTAAGGAGAGCAGAATTAGAAGAGCGAAGGTTGCGAGGTGGGGAGTAGGGCGATAATAGTTCAGACAGGTACTGAAGTGCCAAGCCACGCAGAGCCTATTTCTGAGGTGAAAAAAAAGATGTTTTGACAGTATGCTGCATATGTGGGTCGAATGTTAAGCCAGAATCGAATATAACCCCAAGGTTTTTCAATTAAGATTGAAGCTCAAGTACAGAACCATCTACAGACAGGGTTACAGGACTGGCTTTAAGAAGTTGATGGGGGGTGCCAATAAGCATGACTTCGGTCTTGTCGCAGTTAAGATGAGGGAAGTTTTAAGTCATCCAAATTTTTATGTCAGAGATGCAATTAGATAGAATAGAGACAGCCACATCGGTGTCAGGTTTGGTATGGATGTATATTTGAGTATTGTCAGCGTAGAAATGAAAGCTGAGGCCAAGTGATCTTAAAAGCTGACCAAGTGGAAACATGTAAATGCTGAAGAGCAACGGACCCAGTATTGAGTCCTGAGGAACACCAGACTTAACAAGACCAATTTCAGACCTGAAATATTATTATTATTATTTTCATTCAAAATGGACCCAGAAGAAAAGGTGCTGTCTGTATGTGCATGTGGGTATACGCATGTGTATGTGTGTGTGTATGTGCATGTAGGTATACGCATGTGTATGTGTGTGTGTATGCACTTGTGTGTGTATGCACTTGTGTGTATGTGCATGTAGGTATACGCATGTGTATGTGTGTGTGTATGCACTTGTGTGTATGTGCATGTAGGTATACGCATGTGTATGTATGCACTTGTGTGTATGTGAATGTGTATGCACATGTGAGTGTGTGTATGCTTGTGAATATGTATGCTTGTGTACATGCACATGTACTGTATATACGTGAATGTGCATGTGCGTGTGCGTGTGTGCATGTATGTGCATATGTATCTAAGTGTGTGTGAACGTGTGTATATACATGTGTACTGTATGTCTGTGGGTGTCCTGTTTGTGTGTGTGTGCGTGAAGGAACATGTGTGTGCGTTTGTGTGTTTGCATATGTATCTGTGTGTGTGTATGTACATGTGTGTAGTGTATGTGTGTATATATGTGTATATACTTGAATGTGCATGTATGTGTATGTTGATGTGTATGTACGTGTGTGTGTATGTGCGTATGTGAGTGTATATGTGTGTGTGCATGTGGGAGTGTATATGTGTGTGTGTCCGTGTATACATATACAGTGTGAGTGTATATGTGTGTGTATGTACTTGTGTGTATGTGTGGGTGTGAGTGCATATGCGCGTGTGCATGTGTGAGTGTATATGCGTGTGTGTGTGCATGTGTGTGTATATGCGTGTGTGTGTCAGTGTATACTGTATGTGTGTGAGTGTATATGCGTGTGTATGTGTGTGAGTGTGTGTGAGTGTATATGCATGTGTGTGTGCGTGTGTGTTTCAGTGCAGGTGCTCATGTGAGAAGCAGGGATGTCCTGAGGCTGACAGTCTGGTGAGCTCAGCAGTGAGAGGCGGGTTTATGCTAAGGAGCTCAGTGGAGCCCTTTTTAAAGAGACGCTGACACTCTGGTTCAGTCTCTTCGGCAATTCGGCAGGGTCCCCTGGATTTGAGAGGAACGAAAACTTTTTTGAGGAGAAGAGCAGAAAAACTCAGGCCCAGGATGCGGAATTGTCTGCTGGTGCTGGTGGCGGCTGTCCTCGCCGTGGTCTCAGCTCACCGCGAACGTAAGTCTGTCCAACAGCCTCTGTCCAGCCCGACCCTGGACAGGGGGTTCCTCGTGCTACTGTACTGCCTCTTTGTTTGTCTCTGCAAACATGGTTTAGCCAATTTCTGCTTTTTATCTTGCTAAGGTTTAATGTTTTTAGTTTTTAGTATCAACATTTCTGTAAGTTTACAGAAATTTTGAATAAAAAGAGAAAAATAGAACTAAGCTGTAAAGTGAATATCTCAAAGCTCCTTAAACATGATTGGGAGTTTTAAGTTTTTCTTATAAAAGCAGGGACTGGTTGCTTGTCTCATATCTCCAGACACTGCCGGTAAAGTTCTCTCTTTGAGAGACATGGCTATGTATCAGCCATGTGGTTTTTCAAACCTATACCCCTGTTATTGGATTAAAAAAATGTGACTTTTTCATGCACCCGTTTGTTAAAAGATTATTCAGAATTATTGTCCTAAATAAGAAGAAGCAAATACAGGGTTGTCTTTTGATTGTAAATGCAGCTGCAAGCATTTGATAACGGGGACATTAGAGACAACTGTCATTAGAATCCTAAAGCTCTGTTTTACTGTTATTCAGGTTTTAATGGAAGATTCACAAAACACATTAAAAGCTTTAATGTTTTTTTCTCTAAGGAGCAAGATTATCTGCATCCCACAAGAACTCCAGTGCAAATTCTAAATCTGTCTGAAATTCAAGAATAATATCCACCCGTAGACTTCCCTTTGCTCATTTTGTACTTGCTTGCAAATTGTGTGTTTTTACTAACAGCCATTCTTCCAAGCCTCTGTGGCCTGATATTCCAGGATTTCTCGTTTTCTTCTGTCTGCAAGTCTCGGTAGAGACTCCCTGCTTTAAAATAACGTTGATCAAACACGCAGAACGGCGCCCAGACAGCTCATGTCAATAACGCAATATTAAAAGCAGTACAGAATGGCAAAAAGGTGCATGAACAGCCGTGATGATGATGGCAGCAGCTGCTGTGATTGGGTGATTTTTGGAGAACAGGCTCTTCTTTGCCCCCTTTGCCCTGTGCAGTATAGGTTGTTAATCTGCGCCACACCCTGGTTTGTACTGTGAGAGAAAATCTCTGAGCTTTTATTGGGTTCAGCTGAGACTAGTGTGAATGAATGTATAAGGGCTGATAATACATCAGCAGTTCAAGACAAACCAACAAACAGCCTCTGGCAGTCACTGGCCTTATCTGTTCTTTTCCAACATCCCTCATCCCTATTGACTGAACCATGTCTGTGACATCCGGCCATCCATTTTTTAAGCACTTTATCCAGAACTGGGCTGCAGGGGGAGCTGGAGCCTATCCCAGCGAGCATCGGGCACAAGGCGGGGTACATCCTGGATGGGACGCCTGTCCATCGTGGGACACAAACAGAGGCACAGACACGCACACACTCACACCAGGACCGGTTTACCCAAAAGCCAATTGACCTACCAGTATGTCTCTGCACTGCGGGAGCAACTGTAGCACCCAGAGGAAACCCACACAAACGCAGGGAGAACATGCAGACTCCACACAGACAGCACCCCAGGTCTGGAATTGAACCCAGGGCCCCAGCGCTGTGAGGCGGCTGTGCTCACCACCATGCCGTCCGTAGCACATCAGGCCAAACTTTCCAAACTCAAGTTCATATTCAAATTCAAACATCTGTATTGGCATGGCCAGTAAGTTCCAGTGTTGCCAAAGGATATACACTCAATACCACATCTACATACACTTATAATGCAAATAGATCATAGGACATCTACATACTTACACATAACACTCTCCATCTGTCCCAGTAGGGGTGCAGGAATGCTTGGCCTGAGGTCAGCAGGAGTGTGTGAAGTGATTGGAATAAACCTGGCACGGCACAGGGAAGGGACACAGGCCAGAGGGACTCGGACCCAGGGCATTCATTGGGCTGCTTTTCGCCATCTATTCTTTAACAGAAGCAATGAAGGCTAACAGTTCATAACCAACACCTGCTGGAGAAAGCGTACGTTTGTAAAAGCAGTGACTTTTAATAGTGACTATTTCAGAGTGACTAGTTCCCCTGCAGATGCTAAAAAAGAGTAGGTCTACTACAGCCCTGATCCAGCAGAGCACCAGTCAAGCAGGATTTCATTAAATCTCGCATTTCTAGAGACGTGAAACAACTTAATTGCAATTAATTAAGCAGGGGGTATAAGCAGGTAGTGTTTGCACAGAAATTGATGTGCAATCCTTGTTCCCGTACTGGAGATGGTTTAGAAATGTGGATGCCTGGCTTTCCTGCGCTCATCAGAGCATAGGCCGAGCCCAGATGTAGCTGGTTCGAGTCTGAGCCTATGCGCTGATCTGACTGAGACTGAGGCTCGCCAGTCGACAGTGCCCTGCGGCAGGGGGGCAGGACCAGGGTGCCCCCGAAGGCCAGCCGGCTGTGATGTCCGCCCCCCCCCCCCAGGCGCCGCTCGCTGACGCCCTCACTGGGAATTCGGATCAGAAGAGGGAAGGGTGGAGTAACAGGAGAGGGCAGGCACAGCGACGAGCCAAGCTTGGGAACTAACTGTCAGTTTGTTTTTGCCAGGATAACAAAGAAAAACAGAGAATAATCCGTATTTTAAAAACGAAATAAAAACTGTGTCAGCCGAGGGGTAAGGCAGCAAAATTATTTCCTGCTGGCAACTTCAGAAAGATATTTTATTTCAGTTTGAATTATTCGGTACCTCTGGAGTAAACGCGTGCGTATAAAAGGCTCTGGGTCTTACAGGACTCACGGAGCTCTGCTCTGGGAGATGCGCACAGGCAGTTAAGGTTTATGGAAAAGGGCGCGATTTCAGGGATCAAAACTTCGACCCAGACAGCCTCTTCCTAAACCAAATCAGTTTTGCTTTTCTTAGCCATTAAGAATACAAGAGGGATCTTGTGTCCTTTAACGGGGCGTAGCTTGAGAGTTCAGAAGCAATTAGCAAATTACTATAACATCAGTGAGCATGGCTAATGAATTTAGTCCTGGGTTTCTTTCCAGAACTAAATATCCAAGTGAAGCCTGCCAGACTGAGTTCCATTATACACAACAAAAAGATTTCAATACCATTCTAGAGAACCGTGCCCTGAATATTTTAGCAAAGTAACAAACTAGTGGCTATAAAAAAACAAAGTATAACACCAAGATCATTGTTCACATGTGCTGATCTACAGGGACAAAGAATTCTCCTGCCTGCTCCCTTGCAGCCAAGTGGTTCTTAAGTTTGGCTTTGTTTTTGCAGCTGTAGGTTTGCTGGGATTGTTATTTTTCATAAGAAACTCCAACAAGGTGACGCTCTAAAGTCACTGACTGCACTGAGCCCTCAGCTGCTAACCAGCCGCTATCCCACAATCCATCTCTGCAAGAATTACCCAGACGCCATCATGGCAGGCCTGTCCACACTGCAGATACTCCTCACTGGGGCGTTCAGGGTGGGTTAAATTAACTAAGACCTGTAGTTTAGCCCAGGATACGAGAAGGATGAATAAGACATCTGAGTCCTATTTAACCAAAGGCCATCGCTACTGTCCTGTAACTGTGCCCTCTGTGTGCTGCCCTGTGAAATGCACCATAGATTCTGAATGCAAGCACTCAGCTGTAGAGACACCATCACTAGTACACTACAGATGAGCACACCACAGCCCTTTTTACAGAAACCGTTAATGGTCTAATGTCTAGTTTAATTAGCATTAAGAATATTAAGCGAGACGGGGACAACCAGCTGATTTTCGGCCTCAATGGAAGAAGAGGTATGTCCAGAGATACCTCTCTGCTCCCTGTCTCTGGGCTGTGTGGACAAAAACCCAGCCCATCCCATAGATCGCGGGGCCTGGAGTTCGAAAGGCTCGCTCCTTCCCAGAGCCGGGCTGCTGGATTAGGGCTTTAGCGGAGGCTCATCTGACAGTCACATGAAAGGGATTGAGGGGGATTGAGGGGGCCATGTGACTCAGTGCCTGGAACCCCCCTGCTCCTCCTCCTGCTCCTCAGGGCAAGCAGCTGAGCGCAGGACTGATCATGTGAAGAAACGTGGGGTCACAGCAGGGGTTGGGGAGCTGGGTGGAGGGGTGGGGGGCGAATAGGGAGGCTTTGAGTTGCAGTCTTCATTCTGGATATCCAGTGCTTTAGGCAAAAGAGCTTGGAGGAGAATGGGGCTCTACAGCGCGCCCAGTCAAGCACAGAGCCTGGCCCGGCCCTCACTAACAGAAAGATCCACACGTCTGGCAACCCAGGATCTGACCAGTGAGAAAAATGCCCTTTTGTTAGATATTTTCTTAAAACGATTAGGAAACTAAAAACCTTCAAAAATGTGAAGCTGGTTCAATTAAGCTCAAGCGCAATAAGCACTAGGAGACTCTCCTATTCTGAAGGCTGGAGAGCTGCCCAGATTCCTGTGAGCTGCTGTTCCCAGAAAACACAGGTCCATTGGCTTTTCCGAGTTTTATACCAGCCGGGGTTCAGAGACTTGAGCTGCTGTCCTACCTGCAGGACTCCACCTCTTCTAGATCCGTGCATCCGAGGAAGGGTGAGCTCTTCTGCAGCTCTCATCCCAGCTGGGAGCAAGATCCAAGTTAAAAGATCCAAACTGAAGAAAAGGCAGACAGCAGGTGTGCAATTCAGCTCTGAATCCACTTTTCAGCACTGCCGTTGTGACGAAGTCCGTGAGCAAAACCTGTTTTGTTTATGGTCTCAGGAAATCCAGCGGAAAAGAAAAGACTTTCTCTGCTGGTCAAAGGGGTGAGTTAGGGGTTTGTCTGGAGAATAGTTTAGTTAGTTTCATTTTTAGAGTCCAATCCGTGTGTGTCTTCCACCAGATCTGAGAGGTTTCCCAGTTAACTGCTACCTGAACTTATCCCTGCATAAAGGATGAGAGCAGAGGCTCTTTAATAACATGACTGTCTTCTCTCTCAAGCACCGAGGGGTTCCGAAGGCTTCATCCGGTACCGCTCCTGGAACTCCAGAATGTATCCGATGTGGAAACAGGGAGACCATCACAGCAGAAACTGCTGGACAGGTGGGAGCACGGCGCATGTATCTGATTTCAAAGAACTCATGTTCGCATCACAATAAAGCACGTCTTTCTTTCTCTTTCCACTAACTCAGCAGTATAAAAGAGAACATTCGTGCTCTAGGGACAGATATGCGCATTCAAAAAATCAGGCTTTGCTTTTAACCTGTCTTCTTTTGAGCTTTCAAATTCAAATTTCATTTGCGAGAGCTTTACTGGCATGACTGATGAGTTACAGTGTTACAGAAAGCGCATCTCTGTCTCTGTTTCTCCCTGCTGACGGTGGAGCACAGCCTGTCCTCTCTGGGCAGCCAGATCTATCTGTGTCCAGTTTCTATGGCCAGGCTGTGGTCACTGAGCCTGTCCTCTCTGGGCAGCCAGATCTATCTGTGTCCAGTTTCTATGGCCAGGCTGTGATCACTGAGCCTGTCCTCTCTGGGCAGCCAGCTCTGCCTGTGTCCAGTTTCTATGGCCAGGCTGTGTGAGCCTCTCCTCTCTGGACAGCCAGGTCTGCCTGTGTCCAGTTCATATGAAGAGGCTGTGATCACTGATCCTACACTTTGTCAGGGTGTGTAGGATCAGACTGTGCGCTCTGTTGAGATAACATGTGACACCCCTTCCTCTGCATGGTCCAGTTCTCCTCCAACTGAAGCTCAGAGTCATATCTTTGGGGAGCTCCGCACTCACTCAGTTTGCTCTGTCGCCAGGCGGAGACGTGACCTTCAACATCATTAACGACAGCCCGACCCTGACTGGAGCCAAGGTCTCCTTCAACATCGAGATCCGCTTCCCAGGCAACCAGACCGTGCTGCCGGATGGCCAGGTCGTGTGGGCTGAGAACTGCACAATCAATGGTAAGCTCTTCCCCGCTCTGCGGCTCGCGCCCCCTGCAATACTGTTCGTACCTCAGGACCTGGGCGTGTCTGTGTGGGTGTGACTCGCCCAGGCATATGTGGGCGTGTCTGTATGTGGGTGTATCTGCATGGGTGTGTCCATGCATGGGCATGTCCATGTGTGGGCGTGTCTGTATGTGGGTGTGGCTGTGCCTGGACAGGCGTGGGGGCGTGTCTATAAATGGGCATGTCCATCTATGGGCGTGACTATATATGGGCATGTTTGTATGCAGGCGTGACTTGCACAAGCATGTGTGGGTGTGTCTGTATGTGGGCATGTCTGTGTGTGGCAGCAGTGTGATAATTCGCAGGGGAAGCAAATAAGTGTTGCGCTGTGCCATTTCCTGTCCTTTTCCATGCCCAGTCTGTCATTTGCAGTCACAGCTAAGTCTTCCAGGAAAAGCGGCTTAGCTCATAAACAGGAAATACCGGGGAAACAAAGTAGTGTTGCACTGTGCTGTGTTTTCTGGCGACGAATAAGTAGGGATGTGCAGCAGTGCAAGAATGATAAACATCCAGAGATCAAACGCAGTTAGAAAATGTCCTTTTTCTGTGTTGTCTAGTGTGCAGAGGCCAGCAGGAACACTGTTGGTCAGAAATGGAACATGCAGGAGAGCATGAGTTAAATAAAACACTTCCCTTTTCTGCACTCTGTCTGTTTAGGGACTCACTTCCGGAAAGGAGAGGCTGTGTATCCAGACCATAATTCCTCGGAGGTATGGAACGGTACCTTTCCAGATGGGACCCCCTTTCCCAGGAACTCCAACAAGAAGCCCAGATTCGTGTTTGTGTGGAAGACTTGGGGTAAGAAATCTGACCCAGCCCTACAGCTCAACCCCTCAACAACCTCAGACCATCAATTCTGCAGATACCGTCTGTCGCAGTCGCTGGACATGATTGTCATGTCGCACTGTTGTGTTGGGCCTCTGCGGGAAATCCAGTCTCTCCTGGATGATAATAAATGCTTGAATGCAATCGGATAATAAAGTTTGAATTGAAATATTGGGTCTGGAGGAGAAGACATTTAAAGGGGTGGAACTGTGGAGGTCAAGTGCACATTTCAGAGCTTCGCACTTGAGCCACAGGTAGCATACACATCCAATCAATCCCATTCATTTCCTTGACGTACATTTGCAGAGTTGGGGAGAACAATATAATTTACTTGCAGTCCACTTATTTTTCAAAGTCTAGTAGGTTTTTCTTTGCTTGTAAAATATCACGTTGTGCGCAAGCGAGGCAGCTGTCTGATGATTGTGCTCCTCTGCGTACTGCTGGAAGATGCCCATGTGTCTGTGTCTATGTCCCAGGACGGTACTGGCAGGTAGCTGGCGGCCCCTCTTCCTCCCTCACCATCGGCACAGGCAATGTTCCCCTGGGCTCCTACAACATGGAGGTGGTGATCTTCCACTGCCGCGGCAAGGACAAGTTCATACCCCTGGGGTACGCCTCCAGCCAGTTCTCCATCACAGGTAAGGGTCCGAGCGCCCAGCCGCGGAGCAGTCAGCCTGGATACAGGCCAGTCCAGGTGATCTTCCCATTGTAAGAAGTCAGCAGGTCAGCAGAAACCTTCTGTGGCTCTTGCACATCGAGACATTGCACAGTGTTTCAGTGCCACAGGGCCAGTGCCACTAGACACCCCACTCACCAGCTGGGCATGACCACCCTTTGCCTTGAGTGAAGTGCTGACCACTGATTGTCCAGCTGCCCCTGCAACGTCTTTAAACCACAATGAGAAAGGGAAAGAGAGATTTATATTTGATACTAAAAATCGGTGAATCCATGAAGTGATATACTGTACTTTGTTTCACCGGACAGGAAGATGCTTAAGCAAGGTCTTACATACAGCTGAGGCTCTTAGTGGCCTAATAGAGAGCTTGAGCCAGCAGCTATATCGCCTTGCAACAACTGGCAGCCCACTGAAACTCAGCAGGTGTGAGCCTGGTCAGTACCTGGATGGGAGACCGCCTGGGAAAAACTAAGGCTGCTGCTGGAAGAGGTGTTAGTGGGGCCAGCAGGGGGCGCTCACCCTACAGTCTGTGTGGGTCCTAAAGCCCCGGACACTATTCTGCAAAAAAAGGTGCCAGCCTTCAGATGGATGTAAAACCGAGGTCCTGACTCTCTGTGGTCATTAGAATATCCCGGTGTGTTTTTCGAAAAGAGTAGGGGTGTTACCCTGCTGTCCTGGCCTTTACCAATCATGGCCTCCTAATGATCCCCATCTCTGAACTGGCTTCATCACTCCGTTCTCCTCCCCACTGAGAGCTGGTGTGTGGGGAGCAGACTGGCGCATTCTGGCTGCCCTCGTATCATCCAGGTGAGGGTTACACATTGGTGGTGGTGGTGGGATTCCCCATGACCTGTAAAGTACTTTGAGTGGAGTGCCCTATAGAAGTGTAAGGATGAATTATAATTTGATGCTGGGCTGTGGTCCCAGTGGAGTTTCCAGTCAGTACGCCTGAACGATGGGACCCGCTGACGATCGCCTCCTGTCTCCGGCAGATCAGATCCCGTTTGCCGTGTCCCTGTCCCAGATGAATGATCTGAACCAGTCCGACAGCAACTTCATCCAGAACCGGGCCATCGCCTTCACCGTCACCCTGCACGACCCCAGCCAGTACCTGCAGGCCGCCGACATCTCCTTCAACTGGGACTTCGGCGATAACAGCGGCGCCCTGATCTCCCGCGAGCTCACGGTCACCCACACCTACCTCACACCCGGCTCCTTCCAGCCGCAGGTGGTCCTGCAGGCCACCATCCCCAACGTGGGCTGCGGCACCACGGCGGCACCCACCTCCTCTCCACAGGGGGGCTCCACCGGTGAGCTGGGGGGGGGATGTGTCACGGTGTTGTAGGGCGTCTCCTTCTCCTTCCAATTCATTGAGAGGTTTTTCCACCATTTTCATCTCTTGTAAAAGTAGGAGCTGGTCTAGAAGAAAGCAAACAGCAGCTGGCATCACTGCAGAGACAGCAAGAGGAACAGAGATTTAAACTGCTTTGAAAACATTTGGAACATCGGAGAAGCTAGCAGATGAGAGAGTGCCAGTGCTTTGTTGCTTGTCACTCAGACTATTTTATGTTTTGAGGAAGATAGACTTCACAAGGCAACATGGCGTCCCACTGGCACACGAATCTAATCAAGCTTTTTTCCCCAGGCATCTGCTGCAACAACATGGCTGAGCAGCTTGTTCCAGACACCCACAACCCTTAGTGCAAAGGAGAGAATCCTAACCTTGGTCCTGCTTATATTCAGTGCTGATTTTTCATTTGTGTCCTCTGCAGTTTCCTCATGGATCCCATAGTTTTACGAGGTTTAAATTAAAAAAGGTCATGAAGGAGAACAAGTCATGTATAATTCCATGCTCAAAATTGGAAAGAAGAGACACAACATTTCGGGTGTCGAGCCCTAATTCTAACCCCTCCTCCTGTCCTCTCCTCTTTGTCTCACCAGCCCCAGCTGACCCATCGGCTTCTCCAGCTGCTGTGACAGTTAACTCGCCCACTGCAGTCAACATTGATCTGGCTGTGCCTGTCTCCCCCGGCGACGACATCGCCCTGGCTGCATCTGCGCAACCGGCAGAAACACCAGTGGAGGGAGAAGCAGCTGCCTCAGCTGCCCCAGCTGCCACTCCGGTCGTTTCAGCAGCTGCGCCAGCTGCACAGGACCCAACTCTTCCAGCTGCCTCGGCTGCTACAGCTGCACCAACTGCTCCAGCAAACACAGTCCTGCTCGAGGGCACAGTGGCCCTGGCTGCCTCAGTGGAGGCGGGAGCCTCTGTCACACCTGCAGCCGCAGGAGAGGCAGTCCAGACAGCGAGCCCGGAGATGGCAGGTGAGACTGGGTGGCATTACTGACAGCATCTCCACTCCGCGTGCTTTTCAGTGTCTACCTGAGGAGATTCTGTTACAGGTGTTGCACAGGCATTTGCTAAGCCAGATATTTTAAAAAGCCCCTGACTGAAGGTATCTCAGTGCTATAATGGTTGGGGGAACTGAGGCTATTATCAGCACAACACAGATGAACATGCCCAGTGCAATTGGCTTCAGAGCACTACGTGGCACTTTGCTTCCTCTACACCCTTTATAAGCAAGTATGATCAGGCTGTGTCATTGCCGAGGTGTGTAGACACTGTGGCACACAGCCAGGATCAGAGGGACGATTCCAACAGCTGTGCAGCAGGTATGACTGGCGACCAGCTGCTCCTCTGATCGCGCACTGCAATGACCACCCTGTCACTCCTCAGTTGCCCCGGCTGCCTCCACCACAGTGCTGGCAGAGGGGGGGACCCAGGCAGTGACTCCCACGGGGGCGGAAGACGTGGTTGTGGTGGTGGCCAAGCGCCAGGCTCCAGAGACTCCCGCCAACGGCTGCTTCATCTACCGCTACGGTTCCTTCTCCACCAGCGTGGACGTCATCCGTGAGTTAGGGGCTGGGGCTCTGTGCGCCAACTGTTCTCTTCACTATAACACACTGATCTCAGCTATACTGATACTACAACACACTGATCTCAGCTATACTGATACTATAACACACTGATCTCTGCTGTACCAATACAATAACACAATGATCTCTGCTGTACCTATAGTATAACACACTGATTTCTTCTGTACCAATCCTTTAACATGCTGATCTTTGCTGTACCGATAATATAACACACAGAACTCTGCTCTATCAATCCCATAACATGCTGATCTCTGCTGTATCAGTACTATAAGACACTGATCTCAGTTGTACCAACACTATAACACACTTATCTCGGCTGTACCAACACTATAACACACTGATCTCGGCTGTACCAATACCATAATAGTTCAGTCTCCCCATTATCCAGTACTACACTATTAACTCCATTTTCAGACTGCTCTAGACCGTCATCACCTCTCAACAACAAGAACACCCCCATTGTCAGCTCTCTCCCACTAAACTTTCCATTCTCAGATGTCCAAACTGAACTTACAAAGACCTGAAAGGACAGTGTTACAGCTCAGCATCTTCCCCCATGAAGGCTTTCCATGGTACAAGCTAACAAGACGTGGGCAAGCTTGATGAGGCACACAGAGCACTGGGCAGCAGAGAGGTGTATAGTCAAGCACGGGTGCAAACTGACTGCTAGCCTACACATTTAACATGCTCCGGCCTATACATTGTTTGCGCTCCCCCAGTAACTGAGTGTTACCCTGAGCTGTCCCTGGAGCAAACTGACCTGGCTGTGTTTCTCCTTTCCCAGAGGGCATTGAGAGCGTGAATATTGTGGAGGTGGCCAATGTGGTCCTGGAGACAGAGGAGGAGCAGAACGCTGTGGACCTCACTGTCACCTGCCAGGGGAGGTGAGGACGTGCCTGGGAGCCTCTCTGAGCTCTTCCTGAGAGTCTCTGCTGTCCTCTGTGTGTCTTCTGCTCCCCGGTGTGTCTCCTGTTCCCCAGTTCTCCTTTGTTCCCAGTGTCTCCTGTTCCCCAGTGTCTCTCCTTTGTTCCCAGTGTTTCGTGTTCCCCAGTGTCTCTTCTTTGTTCCTAGTGTCTCCTGTTCCCCAGTATCTCCTTTGTTCCCCACTGTCTCTCCTGTTCCCCACTGTCTCTCCTGTTTCTCAGTGTCTCCTGTCCCCAGTGTCTCTCCTGTCCCCAGTGTCTCTCCTGTACCCCAGTGTCTCTCCTGTTTCTCAGTGTAGGAGGTACCACTTCTCAAACCTTGCCTTCATTGCAAGCAGAACCAGTTTTAAAAAATTTCAGTGCCCCTTTTAATGTGAACAGATTTGGGGCTGCCAGTCACCAGCCAGACTGACTCACTAGTTTAACTTTTGGAGGAGATGAAGGAAGTCCAGAGAGACGGACTTCCTGTGTCCCACTCCTCCCCTAGACACCCACCTTTCTTTGACCTGCGATCCCAGCACGCACTGGGCGTCCTACAGAGGTGGTCTCAGTTAGCGCTGGCAGTGCCCACCCTCCCAGAGCGCTGCACCGAGGAAGCCTGGCATTGGACAGTGGCAGGCGCCCTCCAGGCAGGCAGGTGGAGGCCAGGCTCGGGCCTCTCTGCAGGGAGACCGACGCCGTGGCCCTCAGCCCGCGGTGCGTGTGGGCTCGACAGGGCGGCACTCCCTCTCACGCCTCGCCCCTTCTCTCCGTCTCTCCGACCCCTCCAGCCTGCCCAACGAGGTCTGCATGGTGGTGTCCGACGCGGACTGCGCCATGCCCGTGCAGACGGTGTGCAGCGCCGTGCAGCAGCTGCCGGAGTGCCAGCTGATCCTGCGCCAGTTCTTCAACGACACCGGCGTCTTCTGCATCAACGTGACCTTGACCAACAACGTCAGCCTGGCCGCCACCAGCGCCCGCGTCAGCGTCACCACAGGTGCGTGGGGAGGGCGCCCCCTGCAGGCCTGACGTGGGAGGCCCCGGGAGAGCTCTAACTTTGATCCAGCCTGCCGCGGCATCACCCTCGTAAGAGCGTGAGAGAGGCGACAGATGAGAGCAGGTCCGTCTTGCCTGACTTGGTTGCACTGAACAGGCTTTGAAGTAGGTACTGGGTTCAAGCAGGGAGCTGCGTCAGCATGCGCAGGCTGCAAAGGAACAAGTAAAGGTTTATTCCCTGCTGAAAAGAGAAGAAAGGAAACACAATGTTTCGGCTGTGGAACCTTCTTCGGGCGCGTCAACTGTGTCAGTTTGTCACACCTGAAGTGGATCCACAGCCGAAACGCTGTGTTTCTTTTCAGCGTGGAATAAACCTTTACATGTTCCCGAACAGGCTTTGTTTTCCACAGACTTCCTGCCTGCCTCACCAATTCACCATCACCCTCCTGAAGAGTATCTCCCAGGCACTGCTGTTACCAGCTCCACCTGTCCCTTAAATCTTTACCAAAGACCAGCAGCTGTTGACTGCTGTCTGCACCAGAAGGATGCTATTGTAGGGATGCAAGCAGTCACAGTGTAGTCCACTGCAGGCTTGAGATGAGGTTAATTGTGCCGAAAAAGGAAATTTCCAGAGAACGCTGAAAGAGACACACAAGGGGCATTTCCCACAGTGCCCTGAATCACAAAGGTGTTACAGAGGGTTTTACAGTCCAGCTACTATGAACAGGTGTTCGAGTCACCATTACCAAAAATGCTTCTACTTCGGGCCCAGTGCCTATTCTTGATAATGTTGATAACAGCAGCAGACTGAATGAAGAAATCACTCAAGCCAGATCAGAAGAAAAGACCCCAGGCCAGAGTCAGGTTTCTACATTGTCTCAGAAAAAAAAAGATTTAATATCAGAGGCATTAGGTATTTCTTTTAAACTAAGGAACTGGTACCCCTGCCCCCCACTGGCGACACTGACGCTGCCCAGCTTCGTTACCCACCAGAGGGCACAGCTGTGCCAGCTCCCCGACAGGAGTGCTCCAGATATCCGTGAACAGAGACCGCTGTGGGTTTCGTGGAGCCCAGCAATGACCGGGACTTGTGTTTCGGTTGCAGGTTCGAGCTCTTCCACTGCTGGCACGGTGGCCATGGCGCTGGGGATCCTAACAGTCGCCTGTGCGGTGGCGGCAGTAGCTGTGACCTACAGGTGAGCACAACCACAGCATCCCACACCCCAGTGTGCTGTGCTGGATCGCTACCCAGCATGCCATCCACCACTCACACCACCCCATCGCGCCCACGCCAGCCTCAGACCCGGTGTCTTCCTCTCTCCCCAGCAGGCGCACCAAGCAGTACCAGCCACTGAGGGAGGACCCCGCGGGCAGCTCCTCGGGCAGCTCCTCGGGCAGCCCCAGAAGGTCCTCGTTTCCCATGCTGCTGTGGAACCTGCTGGGCCGCCAGACAGCCGGAGAGAGCAGCCCACTGCTGCAGGGCCGGGTGGTCTGAACCGGATCGGAGCCATAACCCCACCACCCTCTCACCCTCACACGCACACACACGTACACACTTGACATTCAGCACCTCTGTAAGTTTAATTTGAAAATCTGCAGCTCTTCAGACATCTATTCATGACAGGCAATGTCTGGGAATACTGCACCAACAATAAGCCAAGATTTAAAAATACCTTAGCACATCTGCTGTTTTGACAAAGTAAATCGGTTACACCTTCAAACATAAGGGACACTGGCTTTATATAAACCGTCCGCTGCCTGTGTGGAACTGTAATCATTTTCTCCGAAAAGTGAACAATTATTAAATTTCTGTGGGGGTTGTTGCCTCTCGAGGGAAAGATCATTGTTGTGTGTTTTTTAAATAAACAGTTCAAAGCCATTTTCTTCTGTACGGCATAATAACACCTGTCCTGTTGCCATTGTCTCTTCAGTCCGTCTCTGAGGTAAATACTGATGCCTTGATCTGCAGTGCGGTTGTAATCTTACGCGTATGTCCTTTCTCCGGTGTTCAGTAGACAAACTAGCCGCTGCGAACTGAAGTCGTGTCCAGAAGATGCTCTAATAAACCTTGATGTTACACCCCGTGGCGTTTCCCCTCAAACAGGGTTTGTAGCAGAAAATAGAACAACGGCAGTTTAAAAACGTTAAAATAAGAAAAACACAAAAGTGTTCAGATTACAAAAGCATCGAACCTGGGTGTAACGGGACATCACCTCCGAAACTTAAGCCCAAACCTTGCCGCTCGTCCTTACAGGCTCGCCACTGGGCCACTCATGCCTGTTAATTACACTCACCTCGAGTTTAAGTGGCAGAGACGCTCCAGTTGCGCATTTGAGTTTGACAAAAAGGCTGTGAATTTAACCCTGTAAAGTAGTAATAGCTTATTTCGGCCGCAAGAGGGCGGGGTTCGCTGGGGAAAAAAGCAGCCACCTCACATGACGACGGGCGCAGCACAGCAGGAGCGAGACTGGCAGAGCATTGTGGGAATCTGCGCGCACTGGTATAAGAAAAAGCAAACATGCTGGAAACGTTCACTCTGAAATTCGTTTTTTTTTAATTCAAGTAATTGTTAAAGTGTCTCTAACACATACCTTGGAATCACAAGTTCTGCGGCTGAGCTTCGGAAACCGTATCGGAAACGTCGTTCACACCAGCTGGTTTCTGAATAAACGTTTATTCCAAATACAAGCATGTTTAGTTATTCTTGAGTGGTTTTTCTCGGTGTGTATTGACAGCTGGTTACACAAGGGATAAGGGGAAATACTTGACACCTGAATGCATGGTTGATTTCTTCTCTGTTGTAGATACAGCTGAATTGGTAATGGGTATATATTTTCATAAGGTGCCGTTGGCCCACTGAGAGCAGACCACCACCTCGTACACCTGAGAGGACAAACAGAACCTGCTCTGGTAAATAATGTAAAAGTTTAGCCATCGTGGCCTCTAGCCAAGACACAGCTTGTTTCTCCCTGAAAAACATAGCATTACATTTAATATAGCGCTTTTCTGGACACTCCACTCAAAGCGCTTTACAGGTAATGGGGATCCCCTCCACCACCCCCAGTGTGCAGCCCCACCTGGATGATGCAACGGCAGCCATAGTGCGCCAGAACGCTCCCCACACACCAGCTATCAGTGGGGAGGAGAGCAGAGTGATGAAGTCAGTTCACAGAGGGGGATTATTAGGAGGCCATGATAGGTAAAGGCCAGGGGGAAATTTGGCCAGGACACTAGGGTAATACTTCTACTCTTTTTGAGAAACACCCTGGGATTTTTAATGACCACAGAGAGAGTCAGGACGTCGGTTTTACATTTCAACCAAAGGACGGTGCCTTTTTACAGTATAATGTCCCCATCACAGTACTGGGGCATTAGGACCCACACAGACCACAGGGTGAGCGCCCCCTGCTGGCCCCACTAACACCTCTTCCAGCAGCAGCCTTAGTTTTTCCCAGGAGGTCTCCCACCCAGGTACTGACCAGGCTCACACCTGCTGAGCTTCAGTGGGGCTGCCAGCTGTGAGTTGCAGGGTGATATGGCTGCTGGCAAGCGCAAGCTCTGCCTTCTCCCTCAGGTCTAACTGACCAGCAGCACAGGGGTCAAAATTGCCCGGTGGGGCTGTGAAACCAGCTGTGAGCCTCGAGATCTGGGGGTGTCGGAATCAACTGGACCCTTGATCGCTTTTCCTCCTTCGTTCCCGATATTCCAGAGCTCCAGCAGCGAGGGAGAAACCCGAATGCCAACTGTGGGACACAGCATCCGACTGAGCTCAGCAAACTCCCGGCTTGCTGTGCTCCGTTCTGTTCTTCCTGAAGGCGGAACGACTCCGTTTGTGCTCTGATCCCTCTCCGCTGCTCATCAGGTGGCACGAAGCCCGTCCGTTCGAATTAACCACACCAGAGAATTACTGGGCCACCTCAAAGCCAGGCTTAGCGCTGCGGTAAAGAGCTTGCCCTGGACTACTGCTGAAGGCCCTGGAGAAGCGACACAGGCTCAGGGAACGTCTTTACCATAGCGTGTCAGCTGCCCAGCGTAATCACCGCCACCTTCACACTCAACCCAGATAAGACTCAGCTCGGAACCACCGAGTGGAAATGAGTCAGGTCACTAAACAATGAATCCTGTCAGCCTCAACTGTCCCCACTTACATCCCTGTAGAGATAAAACAATCTGTTTCAGTGCCAATTTGCTTAATGTATTCTGAGGAGCTTTACTTCAGTCAAGTGAAGAACAATTGTCAATGTCCCAGAGGAAAAAAAACAGGGACACTGGAGGGAAAATCAAATAGAGCCATAAGCTCCAAACCCCTAATTGCCAAGAGAGAAAAGATCAATTTGTGGGACAGTCAAATTCCTCTCTCTTTGCTAGCGTTAATCCCGCATCAGCAGGGTCCGCTTGTTGGCACACCATTCGGTGGTTTGAACCAAATCTTTGAGCTGACGTTGCCATTAGCTGCAACCGAGAAACACTCCAACCAGCACGTCGCTCCGCCTGCCATCAGAGTGGGAGGCAGGGGGAAGAGAACAAAGTAATGTAGCCAATTCATAGAGGGGGATCATGAGGAGGAATGGGAAATTTGGCCAGGACACCGGGGTTACACCCCTACTCTTTTCGAGAGACACCCTGGGATTTTTAATGACCACAGAGAGTCAGGACCTCAGTTT